CCTGGGGCATTGGCCCACAGCCCCCCCAAGCACTGCCGCCGCTCCCCACACTGCCCACAGCCCCCCCAAGCACTGCCGCCGCTCCCCACACTGCCCACAGCCCCCCCAAGCACCGCCGCAACTCCCCAGCGCCCCCGACGGGCCTCCCGGGCGTGGGTGGCGCTCTGCGCGTGCACCCGCGTTCTTTGAATGTGCGTTCAACGCATTCAAAAACAAAATGCGGAACCCGCGTTCAACGAACGTGCGACAACACAGTGCCTCTGCAGGCAAAGGAACAAAAACAACATACTTACTGAATCTATCAACTATGACCATGACTTGGCTCTTGCCGTGCCTACTCTTGACTTGAGTATCCATAAAGTCAATGGACACAGAGTCTTCTGAGCCCTGGCTGGTCAGGAATAGGCAAGGGGCTGAGAAGACCTAGAGGGGCATGCCGCACGCGTAGTGGTCTTGTTTCTCTGGCATACTTTGCAACTGCGGACATACTCTATGCAGTCAGCTTTCATTCCTGGCCAAGTATACGCACGCATCAGATTGGCTAGAGCCTTTTGCCAACCGAAATGTCCCTCTGTGTTGTGGCATTCCCTTAGGATCAAACTACGGATCTCCTCGCTGTTAGGAACGCACAGACGTTCTACTATATTAGTCTTATCGAATAATAATCCCTCTGTAGTGCGGTAATCTGGCTCCGTCTCTGGGGCCTCCTTAACTTTCTTGAGAAGGTTACCATAAATAGGGTCCTGCACATACGCCTGTCGAACTTTTTCCTGCAGGTCACTCCCTATATCCAGATAGTGAACTATGGCTTCAAAGTAGTCAGACCTCCTACTTAGAGCGTCCGCAACTACATTGTATTTGCCTTTAACAGGCTTGAGCTCAAAGTCGTACTGGTCTATCTCAGCGGCCCACCTAGTCAACTTAGGTGTCATTTTGGCCTGTGTCTTCAGCCACCTAAGAGTCTCGTGGTCTGAATACACTTTGAAGTGTTTCCCAAGCAGGTAATGCTTCAGTGCCCTAAGGCCTGCCTGAGAGTGTAGAGTTATCTCTCGTAAGTCGAGGTGGTCACCTTCTCTGAGGGCATCCTCGCTGACATAAACTCTACGGGTCTGTAGCCATTGCCGTCGTCCTTCTATAACACGACGCTTATACCATACTGACTCGCGTCCGTGGTGACGACAAATGGCAAGGACGGATCTGCTACTTTGAGGACAGGATATTCTATCAACGCGCGCTTTAACTTCTTTAGCACAAATGTATAGTCTTTATCATGGCAACCGGCCGGACGTCTAGAGTGGGATCCGGACAGACTGGCTGTCTGGGTCCGGGTCTGGGGTCCGGTCCGGTAGGTCCGGAATGGATCCGTTTCTCGGAAATTCAAAAAAAAAATTTGGGGCTCCTAGGACGTTTTGGGGATCCTAGGCTGCCCCCCAAAAATTCTTTTCATATTTTTTGGCCACTGGAAGGCCTACCGGACAGCCGCAGACTGGGTCGGATTCCCTCCTCTACCGAGCTCGGACATGGGAAGGGAAAAACACGGATTCAAGTTTTCGAATCCGCTATCCCTCCGCCGAAGCCATTTTGAATGAGTTGCGTTGTCGCCGCGCTGTCGCTGATCTTTTGTCGTCATCTTCGTCGCCCGCCGTCACTATCGACGTCTATCGTCGCCGAGGAGATCATCGCCAGCCAAGGAGTTGCTGCCCTCCAAGGCTTCTTGCTGCCCACCAGGGGTTCTTGTTGCGGAGGAGGTCGTCGCCCGCTCCTAGGCTAGTCTCTCTCTCTCTCTCTCTCTCTCTCTCTCTCTCTCTCTCTCTCTCTCTCTCTCTCTGTGTGTGTGTGTGTGTGTGTGTGTGTGTCTCCAAACCTCCCCCTCTCCCCCAATCGGGTAGCACTGTTCCTTGCTTGCATTACTTCATGGAGGTTTGCGGCTTTTTTCCCTTACTTGGAGGTCGAGGACGACAACAGTACAACGTGGAGCGACGGGGTGGAAGGTGGAGACATGGGTGACTCTTCTCTCTCTCTCTCTCTCTCTCTCTCTCTCTCTCTCTCTCTCTCTCTCTCTCTCTCTCTCTCTCTCTCTCTCTCTCTCTCTCTCTCTCTCTCTCTCTCTCTCTCTCTCTCTCTCTCTCTCTCTCTCTCTCTCTCTCTCTCTCTCTCTCTCTCTCTCTCTCTCTCTCTTTTGAGTCCGTCCGGGACGTCTTAAGTGAACATGGCGGGAGGCGGATGACGTTGAGGGAAAACGTGAAGGAAGAGGAGAGGTGGGGGAGGATAGACGTCGATTCGACAGGGGTGACCTTTTTTTCATTCCCTGTTTTTTTGTCGGGACAGTCTCGTTTTGTTCTCTTGGAGGACTCCGGACAACGAAGACGCTTGGGCACGTTGGGCAGGAGACCCATAAGGAGGAGGGGGAGGAAGAGGAGAACGAGGGGCGGTGGGGAGGAGGATGAGCAGTATTGAACAGGAGTTGGGACAACGGGGAGGACAAGCAGTATCGAAGAGGAGTTGGAGCAACAAGAGGCAAAGAGGAAGACAAGTGATAGAAGAGGAGGACGGGACAACGGGAAAAATGCGCGAGGTTGAAGAGGATTTTGAGCGACGAGGGGCAACGAGGAGGACGAGCGATATAAGAGGACAAGCCATATCGAAGAGGAGGACGAGGGGCAACCAGGAGGAGGACGAATGATATCAAGGAGGTGGAGGAGGAGAAGGAGGAGGAAGGGAGGCGAATGAGATGCGTACCTTCATTGATTCAATGCATGAAGTATTGCAGTCGTGTTTAATTGTTTTTTCTTTTTTGGATGTTCTGCAGTCGTGTTTCGGTTTATCAAAACTTTTTGCCATTTTTGCGGCGTGATGTTGTTGAATGATCGACTGATTGATTGATTGGTCGATTGACTGATTGATTGATGGTTGATTGGTTGGTTGATTGGTTGGTTGATTGGTTGGTTGATTGGTTGATTGATTGATTGATTGATTGATTGATTGGTTGGTTGGTTGGTTGACCGATTGATTGATTGATTGATTGATTGGGCGATTGAATGATTTGCCAAGGGAACTGAATCGTCAATGCTCCTGTTCATTGACGTGGGATTAACGGACCCCATGTGGGGTGGCGAAATGCTACCCTTTTTTTTTTTCGGAGGGAACGATTTGTCAATGTCACCGTCAATGACGTCATCAATGCCCCTTTTTTTCCATTCCTGCTACGGAACTGCTCGCACTATCATCTTTGTCATCTGATCTCGTGGAATTCCCAAGCCCACAGGGGTGGTAAAATGCTGCCCGTTTTTAACCTTGCATTCTTTGGGGAAAGGAACTGTTGGCTTTGTTATCTTTGTCCCCGTGGCGGGTGGCGAAATGCTGCAGTCAATCAATCGATCAATTAATCGATCAATCATTCGACCAATCAACCAATCAATCAACCAACCAAATCGATTGATTGATTGATTGATTGATTGATTGATTGATTGATTGATTGAATGATCGATTGACTGATTGACTGATTGATTGATTGATTGATTGATCGAATGATTGATTGATTGGCTGCAGTGATTGATTGATTGAGGTAGGGATAGGGGGAGGTAGAGAAAGAGGGGTGGGCGAGAGGGGGATGACCGACTCTAACAATATCATGGTTGTTCAACTTGGTTTCCCGCTTTCTTTGCTTCCAGGATAACTAAGAATGGTACTGAGTCTGTAAAGAGGCACTACACGGAGTTGGGCTTCATTGGAGATCCAAGTAAGGGGAACAAGAAGCGGCGATGCAATTATTGCGACCAGATGGTGTCTGGCACTGCAACCAGAGCCAGGTGACATTTTCTTGTGGCATCATGTGCAAAATTGAGCGGCTGAGAGAGGTTGTGTCAAAGGAGGACTACCAGCGGAGGGAGAGGGGAAGAAGGCCGCATTGGAAGAGGTTGGGGCCCTTGGGGGTTCAGCTGCAGCGGGAATGGAGAGCTCTGATGAGGACAAGAACACGCCTGGTGAGGTGATGGGAAACAAGACCACAGAAGTTGCTGCGTCCGTTGAGTTAACCATCGTCGACTGTGGGGCGGTTTTGACAAAACATGAGGAGACTGAGCGGAAGATCGACGATTGGATGACGGCGCACTGCATCCCATTCCACATGATGAGGAGTAAGGAATGAGAGGCGATGGTGGAAGTGTTGAAGAATGCACCCCCGTCCTTCCAATATGCAAGGTTTGAGAAGGCACGAACGACACGGGTCGAAATCAAGAGGGCGCGGGTTGCAGCGAGGATGGAGGAACTGAGGAGGGAGTGGCCCATCACTGGTTGCATGTTGCAACTGGACGGATGGACCAACAGGCAGGCCAGGCCACACATTAACGTGATGGTCTCTTTCCCTAGGGGCGCCGTGTTTTGGAAGAGTGTCTGCATGAGCAACCGCGACAAGGGTATTGCGGCACATCACTCCATCTTGAGGAGTGCGATAGAGGCGATAGGGGAGGGTGTTGTAGTTGGTGTCATAGTGGACAATGCTGCAATTTGTGCGGCCGCGGGTCGCATGGTAGAGAGGGATTACCCACACATCAACTCTGTGCCTTGCGCAGCTCATTGCCTCGACCTCATGTTTGAGGCGTTCTGGAAGATTCCGTGGGTAGAAGAGGCCTTGCAGCGGGCGTTGGACCTCGCGAAATTTCTCGGGAACCACGGACGGGTGCACGACTTGTTGCACGAGAAATCGAATGGCAAAGTTGTGGCAAGACCAGGTGCAACCCGTTTTGCCACAAACTTCACCACGGTTGACAGCCTGCAGCAGTTGTACCTGCCTCTCCGGTCGTGTGTGACGGACCCAGTGTGGAAAAGCGGGATCGTGCAACCGGGTCAACGTCACTTGTTGAAGGCGGCGACGGATTCTATCCTCGACGACAGTTTCTGGGATGGCATAGAAAAAGTGCAGGAGACGTTGAAAGAGTTGCTGGCCCTGTTGAAGTTGGTGGACATACTTGGTCCAACAATCAGCAAGGTGTACGGGCGACTCGACGTTGTGGTAGAGAAGTTACGGGCGAGTGAATTCTTCACCGATATCGAGAAAGACAAGCTGGAGGAGATTGTCATGCGCCGCTGGAACACAATGAATTCGCCGCTGCATTGTGCGGCGATGTTTTTGGATTCGTAATACAAGACAACACAGCCGGAGAAGGACGCGGAGGTCTTAGATGGATTTTGGTTATGGGTGTATTCGTGTTGTAAGCCGTCAATGTACGTGAAGGTGGACGTGGAAGTGAACTGTTGGATTGAGGGCACAGGCAGGTTCAACTGCGAAGAGGCCAGGGCAGCACCACGAAGTGCATAACCCACAAGATGGTGGAAGAAATGGTGCAGCGACATGCTGCACCTCCAGAAGCAGGCAGTTCGCCTGCTTGGTCAAAGCTCCTCCTCCTCTGCCTGCGAAAGAAATTGGAGCCTCTTTGAGCGGATCCACTCCAAACCCAGAAATGGGTTGTCGGTGAAGAAGTTGAGCACACTAGTTTACAACAGATGGAACCACCATCTGTTGGCCCGCTCAATAAAAAAGCCGAAACCAGTGCTGGTGACATTCCATGGGAGGAGGATCGCGTACTCACGGAGGAGGAGCTTGCAACAGATGCAAAAGAGCGGGTGGACGAGTGGCAAAACCCGCTGCGTGCAACAAACGAAGCGGCTGAAGCGAACGGTGACGAAGATGACGACGACGATGAGGACAATGATGAACCGGTAGTCGAAAATGCTTTTGCGGTCGATTATGACCCGCAAGAAACACCGGGGCAGTTGCGGCGGTGGAGGCTGCGCAGCGATCTCCTTCGGCTCGAAGCAGAGCTCAACGACTCATGGAGGAAGACGACGCGGCCTTCCAAGTACCTTGCCAGGCAGCATCTCCGAGAGATGCAGCGAAGACCATAACGGCTGAGCACGTTGAGCAATATAGAGCTGCTCGTGCAAAGGTGATCGAACCTGCCACAAAAACGGTTAAGCGAGGGAGGGGGAGACCGCGGAAAGCCCCAGTGCAGCAAGTTGATGATGCAGCAGCCCAGAAGGCAACAAATGGAGAAGTGGAGGAGGGTGGTGGCAGCGGCACCAATGGAGAAGCCATTGCACCAAAACGGGCGAGATGTGGGCAAGGTAGACCACACAAGTCCCTTAAAAACATGGAGGAGGAGGAGGCAGCAGTGCGAATGGCCAGCGGCAGCAGGGGTGGTGACAGTGCCACACGTGATGCGAGTGAAGAGGATGGGAGTGATAGCCCTGTGGATAGGAAGGACGCATATGCAAGCGAGGGCAGTGGTGATAGCCCTGTGGACAGGGAGGACTCAAGCGTCGACGAAGGAAGTGGTAGTAGCTCAGAGGAAGAGGATGAGTGTGATTCTGAAGATGAACCGCTGGCTGCAAAGGCTACAAAGAAACATAGAACATCAAGCTAGAGAGAGAGAGAGAGAGAGAGAGAGAGAGAGAGAGAGAGAGAGAGAGAGAGAGAGAGAGAGAGAGAGAGAGAGAGATAGAGAGAGAGAGATGATTAACGTGAGGTCTGAGATCCCGTCTCGGATCCGGTCCTGGCCAGATGTCAGATCTGTTGTTACTCAGATCGGAAAAACTTTATTTCAAATGAGTTAGAAAGTCTGCAGTTTCTGTTTTGTAAACTTTTTTTTTTTTTTTTAAACTATTTCTGTTTTTTTCACTGTTTTATGTAGTCTCGTCGGGTTGGTCTGTTGAGAACTGATTTGAAGTGTTTTGTGAGCCTTTCTGAGTGTCTACGACAGTCACGGATTAGAAGTTGTCAAGTTCTATGCACGGCATGCCAGTGTGTCCCTCAAACAAGGTAAGTCTCGTTCCCCATACTTCTCCCTTCCGAAGTGTGTCGTCAGACACTTAACTGTTGTTGATTGTGTAGTTGTGTACGATGTTTGTGTTCGTTGTGGTACGTTGTGGGATGTGAGTCACCAATGGTGTGTGAGCAGAGACAACACAGTGAACACACCATGTTGTGCTGGTTTTTTTTTTTTTTTTTTTTTTTTTTTTTTTTTCGGTCCGGACATTTTCGGCTTTCGGGCCACCGGTCCGGACGGTCCAGGTCCGGTCTTGTCCGGCTGTCCGGTGCCTGTCCGGATTGCCGGACGTTTGGACCGGTCCAGACAAATGTCCGGGTGTCAGTCCAGACATGTCCGGGTCCGGGTCCGCGGTTGCCATGGTCTTTATCCCACTGCCGGATTGCCTCTTTCTTGAGCAACCTGCGAAGGGGAGCGGCGATAGTCGAGAAGTTCCTTACGAACTTCCTATAGTAGTTAGCTAGGCCTAAGAACGACCGCAACTCAGTCAATGTGCGAGGTGTCAGTCAATCTCTAATTACCGCTATCTTGCTGTCCTCAGGCTGAATGCCATCTCCGTCTAAGATGTGGCCCAAGTACAAGACTTGTGTTTTGGCCCAGTCGCACTTCTTCGCATTGATCCTGAAGTTAACCTCTCTCAGCTTCTCCAAGACCTGCCTCAAATGACCCTGATGCCCTTGGAGGGTTCTACTGAATATTTTTTCGTTTTTTTTTGTTACTTCCTTTTTTTTTTTTTGATTGATTGATTGATTGATTGGTGGGCAATGGGTCACCCCCCCCACCCCCACCCAATCAAACACACAAAACACACATACACACACACACAATCACTTACTTGCGAAGGGTTTGAAAGCGACTTTTTTCGTTTCTTTTTTTTTCTTTTTTCTTTTTTTTTGATTGATTGATTGATTGATTGATTGGTGGGGGATGGGT